CCCCCCCCCCCCCAACCCTAGGCCAGCATTGCTGGAAGGACTTTAGAGTGGTTTTTTTGTGGAAACCACGTTGCGATGATAAGAATGATGTATTACAATAATGCATATGTTGAGTTATTCAGAAATGAAGAAGTCAGTTGGCGGCAGTCAGCTGGACAATAGCTCCCAGTGGTGTGTGAGAAATCGATTTTTTTTCACGGTATAACTTACCCTAATATTTCATTAATGTTATTTATCCAGAGTGCTCGAAAGATTGGGTGCGCGCGCACTTTCCAATCATGTGCGTGTCTTTTCTGATTTCCTTGTCTACGAATTCTCTGTATCTGGTGGAGGAAAACACGTGAACAAGGTGAACAAATGAACGCGTTTGCTCTTCTTACGTGTCCCTAGTCATTTTCATGTTTAGGTTAGTTAAACATTATTTTATTCCTTGTCTTAGTGTATCCAACATTTGAATGATCTGATATGGAAGTACAACGTAGTGACACTAGATCGTCTTGTGCTGTCTCTGGTAAGGAATTGAACAACTTTTAACGCAATAATCATTGTAAGCTGCTAGACTATGTCAAACTGTGTCAAATACGCCCATGCAACGTACAGTGCGATGCATAAAACGTACAAGTATAATTCCATTTTGATCTGGCGTCGAAAGCTCTAGTCATGAGCCTCTAGCCTGCGTGGTTGCGCTTTGGGGAGGAGGGAGGGGAACTGGGGACGGCCCAGTCCTCCTCTCCTTCCTCCTCCACTACCCCCTCCAAAAGCGCCTCTACGCAGGCTATGAACATCTGGCGGGAAAAATTGAGTAATTTTTCCCTACATTTTAGACGTAAAATAAATTTACATTTGTTACAGCCGAGCTAAGACTCGGACACACATGGCCTTTTTGCGCGCAACGTTGCTGAAGAAGATATCGATTTCATTTTGCGCCACATTTCTTGATTTTATTTTGGGCGATATTTTTCGATTTCATTTCGTGTAACATTTCCACCAAGTTTCCGAACCTTTTGCGTTACCAAAAACAGCAAGTCAATACATAAGAGGCAATATTAGATATTAAAATATTGTTCTTGGATTTTCTTTCCTGTACAGGCTCTTCGCAGCCACGAGGGCAACGAGGCTCAGGTTTGCTTCTTCATCATTCAGCTGCTTCTCCTCAAACCTCCAGACTTTAGAACACGAGTAAATGCTTTTGTTCGCGAGGTAGGTAGTGACTGACACAGAGTCATTAGCACTTCTAATCGATATTGATATCCTGGCCTGATTTCCTTTGATAGAACTCTCCTTGTCACTGGATGCAGACTGACTGGYACCAGAAACACATGGCATACCATACGGTAAGTTGATTAACCTCTCTTTCTTGGAACCTACCTGTTCTCGTAATACACCTCTTCGGTTTGGGGTAATGTTTTCTCATTTCAGACCACGTGTCATTCCCTTGAGAATAAGATTCTTTGTTTGAGCTGYATCCATATTCATGTGTTTTCTCATGTGCAACCGAGCGCAAACCTTAAACAAATAAATGATACTCTAGGGGATGACATGTGGTCTGAAATGGGGAAACATTACGTCAGAGCCGAAGAGGTTTATTGAGCACGCCACCCCAACAAACCAGCGGTATTGTGATGAGCCTAAAAATATACTATATTATCATTTAAAAAAGATTTGGTCTCCATTTTGCCTTTGTCTGCCCCTTCCTCCTTGATTACCGATCTGCATATTCTATCCCTCTCTCAGTTTATTCCTTTGTCCGTCCATACCCGTACCTCTGTCTGTCTGTCTTGCTAATCACGTGTTTTTGTCTGATCTCTTTGTGTCTCATATATTTATCAGTCTCTCACTAGGGGCTAATCATTTTATACCGTCTGTCTTTGTCTGTGAGTCTGCCTCTTGGTCTGTCTGTGTCTGTGAGTCTGCCTCTTAGTCTGTCTGTGTCTGTGAGTCTGCCTCTTGGTCTG